TGGAGCTCTGATGCCCCCGGGACAGCGAGTGCCGGGGGCGGGGGGGCAGCTTTTGAGTCCCGCAGGGGGCTTTGGGGATCAAAGGCCCAGGGCGGAGGGCAGGACACCTGGATCCCTTGGAGCCAGCGCAGGGGTCCTTTTCACTGAGGTGACGGGAGGGCAGCTGAGGCTGAAGGCCGTGAGTGGGGCTGGGGGCTGGGTCCCGGGGAGAGGTCCAGCCGGTGGGAGAGGGAGATGCCGGTGGACGGTGAGGGGCGCATGCCTGTCTTCTGGGCTTTCTCTCCATATCTTGGGGCTGAGGGGCACATCTGTGTGGGTCAGAGCAGAGCCAGTAAGTAGAGAACGAAGTGGGGCCTGGGCTACTTTTTCCATTGGCTTCTCGGACAGGATCCCCTTCCCCCTCCCTGTGCCCTCGATGCTGCCACGCGGCTGGCTCTGGGGAGCACTGGGGCTGGCTGCCAACAGGACGGCCGCTGGACGGAGGGGGATCAGGTGTCTGAGGTGGGAGCCAACTCTTTGCATTCCTGCCCCGCCCCTCCCCCTCTGACCAGCCGGGCTCTCCTGGGACCCTGGTGTCCACAACCCCAATCTTTTCCTTCTTTTTTCCCAGGATGGAGGGAAGGGCAGGGAAGGGGACTGGGAGCACCCGGGTGCTAGGCAGGCTGGAGCCAGCCGCCCCCCACTCCTGAAAACACTGGAGACTGATTTGCATATAACTTGACTATTCATTTCCTCTGCTTTGGAAAGAAAGTGGTCGGAATAACAGCAGAAAGGATTTAGATTAGATTACAGGAGGAAGAACTTCCCAGCTGTGAGCAGTGTGAGCTCAGGGACAAGGAGCAAGTGTGCAGGGTCTAGACTCTGAGTCTTTCTTGAGGGAAAGGGACCCTGGGGCATGGAGGTGGGGAGATGCTGAGATGACGCTCTTATTTGGGAGCTGAGTTGTAGAGATGGGACTCCACAAGGCGGGATTCAGAGCAAGGAAGGGGGCACTTGGCCCAGAGGTGGAGGGCGGGGTGATGGGGCTGCGGGGGAGCCTGTGGGCAGGTTGAGCCTGAGATATGGGGCACGTGTGCCTGAGGTGCGGAGACAGGTGGGCCGCCTGTGGGAGTCATCGCTAGGATGGGGCTGCGCTTTCCTGGGGGTTGGTGGGCGCGGGGCCTCTGAGGTCTCCTTGGCCTGGGGTCTCTGTGAGTCTCTGTGTCTCTGTCTCACTCACCGCTGTCTCTCAAAGCAGCCCTTGTGTGTTGGTGTTTGCGGAGCTGCCACACGCAGGGGCCAGGCTAGGTTCGGGGGGAGGTGGGGGGGGGCAGGCCGTGGTTTCCCGGCTCCTGGACTCAAAGGGCCTTTTCTCTGCCTGCCGGCACCACCTCACCACCCCACCCAGCTCTCTCTCCAGACCGCTCTGCCCTGCCCTGCCTCATGCTTCTATGAAAGTTTTGCAGGAACTTTCTTTGGGGCTTTTCCAATCTGGAGCTGATGGTGTGAGGAGTGTGAATGGCGGGGCAAGGAATGGAGAGGTGACCTTTGTCTCCGGAGTGTGAGCCCGTGTGAGCCCGAGGAAGCCCAGTCCTAGGGGATAGAGCTGGTGGCCCGGGTCTTGGGTGCTGAGGGGTGGGGGTGTGGGGGGAGGGTCAGAGTTCCAGGTGTGGGGAGCCTGCTGGTTTTGGGCAAGGACTCTGATGGGATCCACAGATGTGTGGCTCAGGGCCCTGGACTTGCTCTGGGTCCGCGTGGCAGCTGCAGGCTCCCCTCCACCCCCCTCCCCAGCCCATCTCTCACGCTAGGGACACAGGCCCTGGGTGGCTCTTCCTGGCGTCTCCTGCCTCAGCGTGGGCAGAATGACCCACCTCCCCATCAGGGCAGCGGCAGCAGCTTGAAGCCCGCTCCCCCTGGAGCGCCTCTCCGCTCCCTCCCGGAGCCCTGCGCCTCCCGTGCCCAGGATGATCGATTGCCCAGATGTTGTTTGTGCTGGAGACATGGGCCAGAGGCCAGAGACCCAGAGACCCAGAGATACAGAGAGGGAGTGAGAGAGGGAGAACGACCAGGAAAGGAAAAGGTGGACAGAGTGAGGGTTATGGAGGAAGACAGAAAAGACAGGGAGACAGAAGACCAGCAGATACAGAGGCAAAGAGAGGAAGAGACACAGCGAGAGAAAGAAGAGGCGGTGGTGGGGAGTTGAGAGAGAGATTAAGAGAGAATAGAGAGGGATTCTCAGGCAGAGACAGGGAGAGAGCGAGCCTGACAGGCTGCTGGGAGGGAGGCGGCAGGAGTGAGCATGAATACAGGGTCACCGCTGTGCTCCTGTGGCGGTTCCCACCCACCCAGGAGCAGGTAAGGGAAAGGTGGCCTTTGCTCTCAGGGAGTGTGAGCCCAGGGGTTGAGTTCTGCACCACAAATGTCCCCTCTGTAGGCCCTCCTGAGGGTGCGTCCCTTCCCCTGACCCTCATGGACTCTCCCAGGTGCACCCCCTGTGGATGTGCTCCGGGCCCTGAGGTTCCCCTCCCTCCCTGACGGTGTCCGGAGGGCAAGAGGCATGTGTCCAGCTGATGTGGCCTACCGAGTGTCCCGACCTGCTCAGCTCAGCGCACCCACCCGCCAGCTCTTCCCAGGTATGGGCGACAGGGTGGAGCAGGGGGAGCTGGGCTAGGTCATGGGTGGGGCCTGAGAGCAGAAACCTGAAGGGAATGGGTTTATGGCTCTTTTCGCCTTTCACTCCACCTGTCTGTGTCTCTCTTGGGTCCTAGGAGGTTTTCCAAAAGATTTCTCTCTGTTGACTGTGGTCCGGACGCGCCCTGGTCTCCAAGCTCCCCTCCTGACTCTCTATAGTGCCCAGGGCATCCGACAGCTGGGCCTGGAGCTTGGCCGACCTGTCCGCTTCCTGTATGAGGACCAGACTGGCCGGCCTCGACCTCCAGCTCAGCCAGTCTTCAGAGGCCTCAACCTAGCAGATGGCAAGTAAGTTAGTTTGTTCCTCTGCTCTGCCTGGCCTGCGCTTTCAGGAACTCCCCTGTGGCCACTGCCCCAGAACCCCTACTCCCTAAACTAGAAAATCCTGCCCAGCCTTTTGGCCACACCTCACCTACCCACTGCCCAAACTTCAGTCACTTGTAGCTCAGAGTTTGGGCTTTAGAGTTTAAATCCTTGTGTGTAGTACTAGCCTGTACCTTGGACAAGTTACTAACTTTTTGAGCCTCCATTCTGTGTTTGTAAAAGAGGGATAATACAATCAAGAGAATCAAATGAGAAATGTATTTCTTGGTGCTGGGTGCATTGTAAGCACTCAATAAATAATGGCTACTGTGATTACTGCTATTATTATTATTATTGGCCTTAACCCTTCCATCAACTGCTCCCCAGTTCTGTTGACTTTCCCTCTTCAGTCAGTCACTTAAACCTCTCCCACCATGACCAGGTGGCACCGTGTGGGTGTGGCTGTGAAGGGCCAATCTGTCACCCTCATTGTTGACTGCAAGAAGCGAGTCACCCGGCCTCTCCCCCGAAGTGCTCGTCCAGTGTTGGACACCCATGGAGTGATCATCTTTGGTGCCCGTATCCTGGATGAAGAAGTCTTTGAGGTAACCAGGGCAACCAGAGGGCAGAGTGATTTCTGGTCCCGTATCTTGTGTCCATTATCCTTCTGGCCCCAGCATGCCATCTTCCTATGCCCTAGCTCTTCATTTTTCCTCTCTTGAGTTTATATTCCCATTTCTTATCCTCAGGGCTAATTTTCTCTATAGGAGAACGAGTGTCCACTTATATTGAAGGAATGTCCACAGCCACTTATTTTGTCACTCAGTCTTCATCACTCTGCCCATCCATCCATTCAACCAACCTCTCTATCCATTCATCCATTCACCCACTCACCCATCTGTCCAGTTACACAGTCACCCACCTACTCAAGCATCCAGGTTTGTATCCATCCATCTGCTCATCCTTCCCCTGCTCAGCCACTCGCTCCTTCAAACCACTTATCTGTCAATCTGTCCTTTCATCCATCTATCCTCTTTAACCCATCCGCCCATCTACTCACTCATCCATCCACCCACCCACCCCACCTACCCATGCATATAAGGATGCATGCAACCATTGATCCACCATTTACACAACCCTCTCCTCACCTACACACTCTCCATCCAACCATTCATTTATCCACACATTCACTTCTATTCATCTACCCACCAATCTGATTCCATCCAGTCCTAGGGTTCATTCATTCATTCATTCATTCATTCATTCATTTCACCATCCATCAACCTTCCCATTCAGTCACGCATTTGAACCCCCATTCACTCACCTACTCGCCCACCCAGCCAGTCAGTTAACACTTTCTGAAGACCTGCTTACCTAATGCCAAGGGGAAAACAGAAGAATATAAGGTTTCTGTCATTCCAAGGCTCTCCCCCGTTCTCTTCTGGAGATGAGACAGTATCTCCAAACGACAATCCAAGGCAGGTTGTGTTAAGCACCACATATGAGCACAAATAAAGGCCATTGGAATCCCCCTCCCTCATTCTAGAGGTCCTGAGAATTCCCATCATTACTGCCAGTGGAAGGTCAAAGCAGTTAAGGCGGGCCACTGTCTCCAGAAGCCCCTGTGAAAAGGCTCAGGCAAAACCACCAGGGCAGGCAGATAGGCAGAGTACTGAATGCAGAGTTGGACGGAATTCTAGTTCTGACTCTACCACTGTGAGTGACCTTGGGCCAGCCATTGCCTCTGAGCTTTTCTGAATGGAATGTATATGAAAAGTGGGCATAAAGATCCTGTGCTACCGACTTTCCCAGTGGTTGTGAAGGTCCCATGGGAACTGGAAAGGGCTGTGCCCATGGAGGGCTGGTAATGACCTTCCGTTATATAGTTTTACCTAGGATTGGCCGCCTACCTTTTGTCCCAGACTATACCCTTTGTCTCTCTCTGAAGCCCTTTCTGTCTCCTTCCATTGGTGTTCCTTCCTCGTATCTCTATAGGGTGATGTCCAAGAGCTTGTCGTTGTTCCGGGGGTACAAGCTGCCTACGGATCCTGTGAACAGAAGGAGCTGGAGTGTGAGGGGGATTGGAGGGAGAGACCTCAGAAACAACAGTCTCACAGAGCCCAGAGATCTCCAAAGCAACAACCAGCAAGACTTCATCGGCCCCAAAACCAGGAACCGCAGAGACAGGTGAGGGAGTTGGGTGGACCCCAAACTGCAGCACCCCCCCCAGGGAGGGAAGATTCCCAGATATCTCCCCAGGGGGATTCCCCAATGTCCAGAGCTCCCCATTCTTTTTGGGCTCCTTTTATCCCCTCCCTCATGCCCATCCCCAACCATACCTCCCTATTCCCATCACTCACCCCCAGTCCTCATTCATCAACCTTTTTATTTTCACTTAAAAATAAAAAGAGTCATTATGAAGAATTTGTGGCTGGGAGCTGTGTCCCCTCCTTGTGTCTCCTCTGCCAGTCTTCCTGGACTGTGTCCTTGGGTTCCCCATCCCTTCCTTGAATTAAGAGATTGGGAGAGAGGGTGCGGGTGAGACATGGGGACAGAGGATGGGAGAGCAGATTAGGGGAGGGACAGAAACAGGGAGAAAGAAGTTGTAATGGTAAGGCCTAGGAGGAGAAACAGGGGAGGAATAGTAGAGGGAATCCCAAAAGAGTGGTGAGTCTGTGGAAGGTGGGGTGGGGCCATCTCTGGCCCCTGCACATGGAGGTGTAGGATAAGGGCTGCGTGGGAGAAGGACAAGAAGACTCTGGTTTGGGTGGAGCTCTGACGGTTCGGGTGACAGATAGGATCTGGGGTCTGTAGTCTGAAGTTGAAGCATCAATCTCTTAATTATGTCTGCTTCTGTCTCACACGCGGGACCCATCCCCCCTTCCTGCCTCTCCCCATCTCTCTCCTGTCCCCCAACCTCTCTTTTCATCCCCAACTCTGTTTTCCAATTCCTCTCCTACCTCATTTCCCAATCCCATACCATCTCACCTCCCTCACCGCCCCCCCACCCCTCCCTACCTATCCCACTGCCCCTTCCCTAACCCCAGCCCACTGAGTCTCTCCACTATGACTACGAGCCCCTCTATTACGATGAGATGACTGCGGGGACAACCCCTGACTACCAGGTAAACTTGAGGGACCCCTTCCTTTCTCCTGTTCCGCCCACCACATCTATGACACCCAGTTCAAGGGAGAAACCGTGTAGTTAGATTATGAGAGTTTCCTCACTGTCGCCTCCCATGTCTCTGCTGCAGCGGCCTCGGAGCCCCAGCCACAGGGCTCCCTCTTCCCCCAGGGGGCGTCGCACCCCACCCCGAAAGCCTGCCCCACCTGCCAAGAGGTCCGCCGCCCCCTCATCAGGCTGGAGATCCTCTCGAATTGGAGGTTCTGGGCCAGCGCGGGGCCAGCCTTCCCCCTCCCGGCGCCCAGCCCGACGGGCAGCTCCCCCCACTGCCCGGGGCCCCCCCAGGACCAGAGGCAGCAGTTACCGGCAGGTAGAGCCGGGGCATCCAGATCTCTGCCCCCAAATCTTTAGGACCTGGGAGAATCATTCTCCCTCAGCTGTCCTCCCTCCAAAGGGGCTGCAAGATCTGCGATTTCCCCCACCCCCCACACAGAGACACTGCCCTCAGCCAGGGACACGGTGCTGCTTTGCCTTCCTTCTTGCTAACCGCTCTTCTTCCTTCCACCCCATCCCCACGGTCCTCTTCCCCCCTTCCCCTTGGGATTAGTACCCTACCCCTGGAGAAGAGGAAGGAATCCTGGAGTCCAGCCCCTTGCCACCCCCTGAGGAGGTAACTCCATCCCCCCCACCCAGCAGGGGGCAGTGGGTGGCTGTGACCCACCCCTCAGACCCCCTGTCACCTGGATGAGTCAGCCCCCCTCTGGCCGGAGGGCTCTTTGTCATACCCACTTACGCCTTCTGTCTCCTGGTCCTCCCAGACCAGTGGGTCTGCTCCTCTCTCAGTACAGCCATTTTCCTTTCGTGTCCTTGTCTCCTTTCATTATTCCTTGATTCTGGAGTAGCCTCCTCTCCTTGTTGGTGTCAAATGTTTTACTTCCTGTGTCATGTTCTGTTCCTAGGAGCCACTTTCTGTCCAGTGCTATCATTTCTTCTCTTCTACCCTTCTTCCCATCCATTTCTTTGGTCATTTCCTGGACTCTATTGTCTATCATTATGTCCATGGACTGTCCACTCTGTGTCCAGCCCTCCGGCCACCCTTCTTGTTGTGCACCACGTCTTCTACCAAGCCCATATTCTGGACATCTCTCCCGATTTCGGGTCTTTGATGGCCACCACCTATCTACACAACTGCTCCCCTTGCTCTTCTTGGGAGAGAAACTCCAGTCCCAATTACCCTCAGCATCCTTTGGGCTAGGAGTTGTCACACCTGGGGTTCAGGGAAAAACTCCTCTCAGCCCTAATGCCCCCGTCTACCCCTCTCCCTCCCCATCCCCATCCCCGGGAAGGAGCAGACAGATCTCCAGGTCCCCTCCACAGCTGACAGGTTCCTGACAGAGGAATATGGGGAGGGTGGCACAGACCCCCCAGCAGGGCCCTACGATTACACCTATGGCTATGGGGACGATTACCGTGAGGAGACGGAACTTGGCCCTGCCCTCTCTGCGGAGACAGCCCACTCAGGAGCCGTAAGTGCAAGGGGCTCCTCTTCTCTTGACCTCCAGTGGGAGCTACAGAATTGCTTCTTGTTGTTTTTGATTCTTGTCTGTTGGCTCTGAACTGCTTCCCACTGGTGGTTTGCCATTTTCTGTCCACATAAGATGTATATGTTGCTTGAACATACTCCTTCCTTCCTTCCCTTGTGATATATCTTACCCTGTGACTCCTTATGAATCCTTCTGCCCAGGGCAATGGGATTTAAATATATATTATGGCCACTTCTTGTCTTTTTGGCCACTTCCTATCTTTTTGGTCACTTCCTGTCTCAATCAAGCTGGATTTCATAAAGCTTTTGGTCAATAAGCCCCTACCTCTTGTCCATTTTCAGTCTGTCTCCATCATTTCTTCTTGATCAAAACAATTTTTTTATCCATGTTGCTGCCAAATGATCTAATTTCTTATGTCTCACTTTCTAACCTGTCTGTCCCTTCCTCTCTTCTCTAGCCATGCCATCTGTCTTGGTGACTGTGCCATATTGGACAGAAAGGGACTTATTATTTGTGTTTCGACTCTAGTTGTCATGCTTTCCATGACAGTTTCCTTTGACAATGAGCTACTTCCAGTGTGTCTCAGGTCATCCAAATCATAAAGTGTCCATTGTGGGCCTAGATATTTGTCATGATCACTTCCTGTGTGTACTCACTTTGATGCTTGTGTTTTCTGGAAGAATTCTCTTGCATTGTCATCAGCTCCTATCCAGGAATCACTTTCTGTCTGTTTTGTGAATTTCTTCCACTGGTCATGGTAGCCAGGGTGTTGCTGAAGGTCCACTTCCTGAAGTCTCTTTTCTTGGCTGCTTCCTGTCTATCCAACCACTTCCTGTTTGTTCAGTCCACTTTCTAGCCATTTTGGCCATGTTTAATTTTTCTTGGCCCTGGCATCATTCTTGCTTCCAAGTGTTTGTCCCTTCATTCTGTCTCCCTTAATTGTTCAACCACTCCCTCTTAGATGGGATATTTCCTGTCCACTCCACTTCATCTTTTGCCTGTCTTGCAGTTACAGCTGCCTTCTCTACCCTGCTGCATCGTCCCATACCTCCTTTCTCTAACATTGCCACCCTTTACCCTCTGCTGTCTTTCTTTTATGCTGCTTTCTGGAAATTTGAGGTTGATCTGTAATATGGGAGAGTTTGGAAATTGATCATTACTGTTCGGTCAGGATGGAGGTGGGGGGCATTCTGATGGTCTTTGTTGGGAGAGTTGCGGGTGGTGGTGAATGTCCTCTATTCTCCCTGTCCTTGTCTTGGTTCTGGCCCTAGAGTTGGGGGCGGGGGGCCAGAACCAACTGCTATGCTTGGAGTACAAATGAGCACCAGAGTGAGAGTATAGTGTCCTTGCTGAGAGAGGAACTGTGGGGACTTGAGGGGGATCTGCTCTGAGGCTTGAGTAACTTAGCCCAAGAGCTGTATTTTTTGTTGTTAATCCTCACCTGAGGATATTTTCTCACTGATTTTTAGGGAGAGTGGAAGAGAGAGGGAAAGACAAAGAGAAACATCGATGTGAGAGAAACACATCGATTGGTTGCCTCCTGCATGAGCCTGACCAGGGCCCGGGCTGGGGAGGAGCCTGCAACCGAGGTATATGCTCTTGACCAGAATCGAGCCTGGTACCCTTTGGTCCACAGGCTGACGCTCTATCCACTGAACCAAGCCAGCTAGGATAAGAGCTGTATTTTTTTAAAAAACCTATTATGGGGTGGAAGTTTCGGATATCAGTGGGGATTGCCCTCCAAATCTACTTAGAGTGTGTATGTTTTACCTCCAAGGAGTTTTTAGCTTATGAACTCCTTGAAATTCTAGGGAAAATTCTGTGCATAAGGGCATACATTTTTTCTGAAGACTATAGATTATATCAGATTCTCATATGGATTCATACTCTCCCCTCAAACTCCAATAAAAATCTATCCATAATCTTGGAGAGATTCTTACTTGGTGGATTGGAGTAAGGGTGAGGAAGTTGATGGTTTCCTAAAGTTCTCAGGATTCCTGGGGTCAGAGAAAGTTTGGGGGATAGGGTGGGGTCCTCCAGAAGAGGCTTTGGGAAGGTTGGGGGGTTTGGATACCCAGGAAACACGTGGGGACCTTCCTGAAAGAAGTTCTCAGGGAGGTGAGGAGGTTGCCTTGCTGAGGTGGGGCTGAGAATTGGGGGGTGGGGAGCCCTGAGGTCTCCTTGGCAGGCCTAGAGGTCTGTGAAGAGAGTCTTAGGGGAGGGATGGGGTGGGAGGTAGGCTCAAGGAGGCCTCCAGAAGACCTGAGAATAAAGGTGAGAGTTGGGATGGGAGGAGTCCCCGTGTCCTGGCTGCTCACAGGCCCCACTGGGGGTTACATGTGTGTCTCCCTCAGGCTGCCCATGGACCCCGGGGGCTGAAGGGAGAGAAGGGGGAGCCTGCAGTTCTGGAACCTGTAAGTCACTCTGGTCATTGAGCTGAGGGCAGTGGGAAGAAGGGAAGAAGGCAGGGTGTAGCCTCTGACTTTTAACGTTTGACTCTGCAGGGTATGCTAGTGGAGGGGCCGCCTGGCCCAGAAGGCCCTGCGGTGAGTCTGTATACTCTCATCCGTGTCTTCCCCATGTGTGCCCAGGCCTCCTTCTCAGAACCCCAGAGCATTCTTCCATCCGAGCTCCCTCTTCTGTAGAGACCACCCCTCAGCTACATACCCCGTTTCTCTCTGAATGCCCACACCCGACCCCTTACTCTTTTGTTCCTCAGGGATTGACTGGTCCCCCTGGCATCCAGGGCAACCCAGGCCCAGTTGGAGACCCTGGCGAGAGGGTAAGGGAGTGCCTTCTGAATGGGGGGGGGGGCACTGCAGAGGAGCCACTAGATCCTAATGGGGCCACATGCTTAGTAATTTCTCATTAGCTGGCTGGTCAATGAACAAGGGACTGGTGTGCTCCCCAGCACTTGCTAAGTAGGGCAGACTGGCTGGGGAGGAGGACAGTAGTCTGGTGTCTTACCCTGATTTTTCTCCAGGGGATTGGGGTGGGGCTCAGGAAAGATCTAGGGAAGTCTGCATTTGTCCTGTTGAGGGGGTTCCCAAAGGACTCTAGGCCTAATATTCCCCTATCTGTCACCTCTTCTTCTCCTTCTCTCCCCACTGCAGGGCCCTCCTGGCCGAGCAGGGCTCCCTGGATCAGATGGGGCCCCTGGCCCTCCCGGCACATCCCTCATGCTCCCGGTGAGTGTCTTCTGGGCTTTGGAATGGGCTGCTGGGGAGGGCAGGGAATTGTGTTGTGTCACCAAGAACCAGAAGGCCAGGAAAGCTGAGGAGTCTCTAAAGACCATCAATGCAAAGAGATAGATCTCTTGGTGGAGGTGACTAGGGCCTCATTAGATGACCTAGAGCCAAATATGATCTAGAATCAAACTTGGATCTTCTAGAAGGGAGCAGAAAATTCTATATTTCAGGGGGTCTAGAACCAAAGGAGAGTCTTTGGAGGAAGAGGCTAGACATTGGGGGAGGAGGACAGAAGTTGAGTTTCTGAAAACCTCTAAGTCAGTGCTTCTCAATCTTCCTAATGCCGAGACCCTTTCATACAGTTCCTCATGTTGTGGTGACCCCCAACCATAAAATTATTTTCGTTGCTACTTCATAACTGTAATTTTGCTACTGTTATGAATCGTAATGTAAATATCTGATATGCAGGATGTATTTTCATTGTTACAAATTGAACATAATTAAAGCATAGTGATTAATCACAAAAACAATATGTAATTATATATGTTTTCCGATGGTCTTAGGCGCCCCCTGTGAAAGGGTCGTTCAACCCCCAAAGGGGTCGCGACCCACAGGTTGAGAACAGCTGCTCTAAGTGATTATCTGAAAACCTCCACTGGAAGATGCTGGAAGAGGGCACGGGGTGTGTGTGTGTGTGGGAGTGTGTGAGTGTGTGTGTGTGTGTGTCCCTGGGCCTGGGAGGTGGAGCAGAAACGCTGGAGGACACCTCTGGCTGGGAAGGTCCCGGGGATTTCCTGGAAGAGAACCTGGACCCTCTCTCCTTGCCCATCAGTTCCGGTTTGGCAGTGGTGGGGGCGACAAGGGCCCTGTGGTGGCTGCCCAGGAGGCTCAGGCCCAGGCGATTCTGCAGCAGGCGCGGGTGAGGAGGGCTGGAGAGCGTCTTGGTGGAGGGAGGGGTGGGGTGGGGAAGGGAAGACTCGAGCAGGGGTTGGAAGGGTAGGCTGGAGGGATAGAGGGAAGGGAAGGTCTGGGTTGGTTTGAGGCTGAGAGGGAGGTCGGGGAGCACATAAGGCATTGATACAAGGATCAGGAGTGGAAGGGGGAATGTGGAGGGTGCCCTGGGGATGGGAGTTTCCCAGCTGCCTCTTCTCAGCTCTGCTGTGTCCCTTGTCCCCTAGCTGGCACTCCGTGGACCCCCTGGACCCATGGGATACACAGGTCGCCCTGGACCCTTGGTGAGCGAATGGGGTGTGGGGTGGGAGGTTCTTTATTTGTGTGTGGGGGTATGGATAGTTCTGGAAAGGGCCCAAATCCAAAAGTCATTTTGCTTCTTTTGGGGAGGTTTTGAGGTCACTGTTGGGTATGTCCTTCAATATAGCCAACCTCTCTTCTCTCCCAGGGACAACCTGGGAGCCCTGGTCTGAAGGGAGAATCTGGAGACCTAGGACCTCAGGTGACATCCCCACCCATTTGATTCCCAACCCACTGCCTCCTCCTCTGTCTGTGCCCATAACCCTGATCTCAACTTTCCCTCACCAGGGCCCCAGAGGACCTCAGGGCCTCACAGGCCCTCCCGGCAAGGCTGGGCGCAGGGTGAGTGCCGGAGTGTGGGGTGGGTGTGGTGGGAGATGGGGCACACCGTGTGGAGGACTGTCCCCTGCTTGCTCTGACATTGCCCGTGCCTCTGCAGGGCCGAGCGGGTGCTGATGGAGCCCGAGGGATGCCTGGAGAACCTGGAGTAAAGGTGACAGGCTGGGCCTCTCTCTGATGCTCAGCTCCAGCCCCATCTGAGCTCATTCGTTTTCAGGGTGACTGAGTTCCCTGGGTTCCCTCATGAAGTGGCACCTCCCCACTCAGGACACAGAGGGAGGGGTGGGGAGGGAAAGGGACTGGGGCTTCACATGGGCTGCCCCTCTTTCCCCTAGGGCGACCGAGGCTTTGATGGGCTCCCAGGGCTTCCTGGGGAGAAGGGACACAGGGTGAGTATCAAGGCAAGGGGAGGGGGCCGAGGGTCTTCGCAGGAGCTCAATGGATGAAACTGGTTGGTTAGTTGAAGAAGGTCGGTGTCTGTGTGGGGAGCTCTGAAGCCCCTCTTACCTATTTTCCAGGGCGATACTGGTGTCCACGGCCTTCCTGGCCCCCCTGGCGAGGATGGAGAGCGGGTGAGTGTGGCCAGGGCCAGGGCTGGTATGGGGGAGGCCTGGAAGGTGAGGCCACTTCACCATGTCCTCCTTCTCCAGGGAGACGATGGGGAGATTGGGCCTCGGGGGCTGCCTGGAGAGTCGGTGAGTGTCCAGGGGGTCAGGTTGCAGGGGTGGGG